AGGCGTCATATATATACGTATATATATATATATTTACTGGTGGCGAAGAGAGTGGTTGGAGAGGGTTGGGGGTGGGGGGACAAGCAGTTCGGATCGAGGAGAGTGATATGAGGGGAAGGGGGGTGCAGTGCTTCTCCGGCGAAGCAAGAGCACCCGCATTTTTCATTCTTCATATCGTTTTGAGCTGTAATACATGATGAGGTGTTTGTGTGCCTCCTTGCCTGCACGTTTGCTTTAAATTCCTGTCGCGTGCACACTTTTCCCTTCGTCTTGTGCTGCCGTTGCTCCTGCCGTTCAGCATGTACAGCAGCACCAATCGAAAAGAAGACTAGTACCGACAGCAGGGAACGTGCGCCTCATGTCCAGCGGTGGCGGAGGCGTGTCGGCGTTGGTGCGCATGACGGCAGAAGAACCACCACTGCCTGTGCGCCTGCACCCGCTCGTCATTTTGAATGTAACGCAGCACGTGACGCGCATGCAGCAGCGCCAACGCGCCGGTGCCGCAGTAGTCCTTGGTGTTCTCCTTGGCCGCACGGCGCAGGACGGCGCGACGGAGATCACGACATCGTATGAGGCGGTCGGCTGTGAGCCGGTGGCTGCAGCCACCACCACCACCAGCAGCAGCGGCAGCAACAGTGACAGCTGGTGTGTGGATTGGGTGGCGGTGCAGCGCAAGAAGGAGCGTCTTGCGGAGGTGTTCCCGGAATTGAGTGTGGTTGGCTGGTACGGTGTTGGGGGAACGAGGGAGGACGTGGTGCAGTGCAGCAGCGTCACACACGTCGCGCTCTGTGAGGCGTTTGACGACACGTCTAACGGGATGATGTTCGCGCTCATGGTGGACTGGGCTCCGCCAGTGGAGCTCGCCACTCTACCAGTGCACCTCTTTGAGGCCACGATTCTACACACCCACCACGAAGAGCAGCAGCGCCAATTGCACATAGATGAGCAACGCCAGTGGCAGGATGCTCAGCGACCGCAGAACAGGGATTGCGACCGGCGTACCAGCGACCCTGCTCGTACGGCACGGGGTAGCAGCCGAATTATTGCTGCCGCTGCGGGCATTCCAGGTCTAGTGGTGGAGTTGACAAAGATTCGATTTCTCTTGGAGTCTGACGAGATCGCACAGGTAGCGGTGGACGCCGCCATGAATTGTGTCAGCGCTGACTCCCACAACAAGAACCCAGGGGCGGCCACGGTGACACCGCACCTGAAGCGCATTGTGCAGTCCCTGCGGCTGCTGCAGCAACGCATCGTGCTGGTCACTGAATATCTTAGGGCGGTGGAGTGTGGCCGCGTTACGCAGCCAGACCCCGACGTCCTACGTCACATTTCAAACGTCTCTGCAATGCTGCCTGCCATCTCCGCGGACGATTCCGCACCCCACGGCGCCATAGCAGCCATTGAGGAAGAAGAGCGGCAGTCACTGGCTGTTGCACTCATTTCGCTAGAAACAAAATGCACAGTGGCGTTAAGTGAACTCGTCCGGGCGCAAAAAAAACTTCACTGAGGGGGTGTACGGCCTCTGTCGTGTAGCGTTGAGAGAAACACAGGCATGATCACCTCGCAAGCTTCCGCCGGTTCCATCTCTCTATTCCATTGTTGTTGTGGACAACGAAACCAAAGGAAAAAAAGGACTGAGGAGACTTAAATCAGGGCTGCGTGGTGCAGTGGTGTGCACAGAAGCCAACCACCTGGCGTATTCGGTTCAGTCTATGTGTAACACTATCACACACTCTTACGGTGACCCTCATTGGGTAAGTACGAGGGGCGCAGCAGCAGAAAATAAATTGGGTGCAAAACGCTCATTGCCTCACTTATCCCCCTCTACAACCCACCACTCTGTCTACTATACTTATACATAACTGTACACAATCTTCATCTCCATGACATTCTTTCCATTGTGATCCCACACACAAACACACTCTCTCCCCCTTCACATCTTCCTACCTTCTGGGGGCAGCAGGTTTTTAACCAGCACATCATGAACACACGCGAAAACAGCGAAGACACCAGCGCACCGGCCCCTCCGCTCTCCGCCGAGGACACGGTGGAGGCATGCTACCTGCACCCCGACGCGAAGGCCCTGTTCGGTGTGGCGCCGCTCATGCGCTTCATACCGCACTTTGGCATCGCCTCAGAGGCCTTCGGGCCGAAGTGCGTGTTTTCATTGGGGCTATCCGAATTCCTTTGTAAGGGCATCGCCGACTACCTGATCCGCTTCTCGCTCCTGCCGATGTTCACAAAGCGTTACGGCGTCGATGCCATGACGTACCAGCGCATGTCCAACCTCTCCACCATGGGCTGGTCCATCAAGCCGTTCACCGCCATGGTCAGCGACATGATCAGTATCTTTGGCTACACGAAGCGCTGGTACCTGGCCGCCTCTTGTGTGCTCGGTGCCGCCTTCGCCCTTGGTTACGGGCTGCTGCCGGCCAAAACTGCCAGCGCCCCGATCGCCGCATTCTTTGTCTTCCTGACGTGCTTCAGTAAAGCCAACGTAGACATTCTGACGCAAGGGCACTACAGCCGTTTGATCCGCCGCATTCCCACTGCCGGCCCTTCGCTGGTGAGCTGGGTCTGGTGTTGGGTGCTTATGGGCTCCCTGATCGCCGCTGTGATTCAGGGCCCGCTGTCTGACGCCAGGCTGGAGCACGTCGGTGTGTTTGTCTCCGCCACCCTGCAGCTCCTGACGACGGGGTTCTTCATCCTCAACTGGTACGGCGAGCGCAGGAACCGCGAGGATCGTGCCGAGGACGCCAGGTTCCTGCGGCAGGCGCAGCTGGAAGCAGCTGCAGGGCAGCCGGACCCCAACAAGAAGCTGCAGGAGAGTGGTGATGAAGTCGAGGGCATGCTGGTGCAAGACCCAGACGAGGAAGCAATGATGGGCCTCTCAAGCGGTGAGCCGTTTACGGAGTTGAACGGGGAGGAGGAAGAGCCGATTGGGCCGCTGCCTACCTGCTGCTGCGGCGTCGTCGAGGTGAACAAGGATGTGTGGCACCGCAACTGGAGGATATTTGTGTACTGCATCCTCATGACGATGGGCGCGGTTGCCATGGCGCTCGTGACTATTTTAGGTGACACCTGGCAGCTGCTCTACGCCTGCGTCAGCATCACCGTTCCTCTGTGCTGCTTCGCCTTCTACGCCCTGCCGCTGGTCATCGCCAAGGCGAACATTTACGCCTTCATCTCGATGGCGGCGTACATCCAGCTGCCCGGTGCCCTGGACAACTTCTACACCGCCACACCTGCATGTCTCCCCGATGGGCCGCACTTCACCAACTTCTTCTACTTCACCATCGGCAGCATCATCGGCAGCCTGGGCGGCATCGCCGGCGTGACGCTGTTCAAGCTCGTCTTCTCCAAGCAGAGCTACCGCGTCACTTTCATCATCACCACAAGTGTGCAGATCGTGGCGAGCATATTCGACCTCATCATTGTGCAGCGGTGGAACCGACCGCAGGTGAGCGACCACGTCGTGTTTGTGCTTGGCGATCAGATCGTCTGCCAGGTGTGCTACATGCTGAACTTCATGCCGACCACCATGCTGCTGTCTCGGCTGTGCCCGCGCGGGTCGGAGAGCATGGTGTACGCGCTCCTCGCCGGGTTTTCGAACTTCGGGCAGGTTGTGTCGAACACCATCGGCTCACTGCTGATGGAGCTCAAGTGGCCCGTGGAGTCGGACATCGCAAAGGGCTGCGACTTCAGCAATGTCAAGTGGCTGCTGCTGGTGGGACATTTTATCTGCCCGCTCATCAACATCCCGCTGGTGTTCCTCCTGATTCCCGCTGCCCGCATCTGCGATACGATTGACATCGACGGCCGTGTCACTAAACCGGGAAAAGAGGCTGGCCAGCAGCAGCAGGAGGAGGAGGAACGAAGGTGATGCCCCAACAACGGCCTTGTGGTGCGTGCTGTTTTCGAAGGTGTAATCGATATTTGGACTGTGTCTCTGCCGCAGCTCGCACAATTTTATGTTCTGTTTCTCTCCCCCCACAACTACCCCACGCTTTTTTTACGCGAAGTTGTTTTGATTCTTTTCTTATGCAGCCACAATGCCGCCTTCCGGTTATTTGTGGGGTGCAGACGTTGTAAGCGGTCTTCACTGCCGCCTCCAAAGTCAAGGCGTGAAGAAAAATGAAAAAAAGGTTAGCATTCATCCGTGCGATTGAATGGGTTGGTAGCACCCACACAAATGTTGTATTACTCTTCTTTTCGCAATATCCCCTTTCTTGACTTACTGTTTTTGTGACCTGACGTCTTTTTTTCATTTTGGTTTAATGTTCCCTCCCTCTCTTATCTGCACTTATTGGAGTAATGGCAGCATCACCTGAGCGCCCATTACATGTTGTATGACTGTACCAACTCCCTTCTTTTTCCCCCACCCGAAGGAGGGCGCAATGGAATTACGTGTGTTAGCCAGACCTCGGTATGGTGTGCTCGAGAGCAGCGAGAAAATGAGAGAAATGAAAGGAGC